GGCAGGAAAGTCCGTGAGACTCTTATCTCCAATAAACCACTAGAAAACCAGAAGTGGCGTTGTGGCTCAAGCGGTAGAGCGCTCGCCTTGAGCTGAAGAGCACAGGGACAGCGCCCAAGCCCAGAGTTCAAACCCACTACTGACAAAAAAAAAAAGAGCAGAGCTCAGAAGAGGTGACTATATTGAGATGTTCTCATTCATGTTCCAGCTCCTGGATTCCTGTGTTGCTGGTTCTTTCCAGCAACTGTGACAATGGATAAAGACATGTCATAATGACACCATGAGAGGTGTCAAGAGAAAATGTCTCTCTTTTTTTTGCTTCTATATGGTCAGATTTTAACAGGGCTAGTTTAAGGGAATTGCAGGAACAGATCAAAAGGGCATATTCTAAGCACTAAAGAACAAGATACTAAAAGGCAGTAAGGTTAAGTGCACAAAGGCAATTTTCCTGTCTTTGATAGGATTATTGCAGAACTTTAGACAGACATAATCCTGTCTTTAATTAAACACAGGATAAGGAATCATAAAACCACCAGTTTTCTACTAGAATAAGTGGCAGATTATATGTCCTAAACTTAAAAGCACTAGCAGTGAGTTATTGAGTATTTTGACTAAATATCCCTTCTGATAATAAAACAGAGAACAAAACTTAAGAAGAGCACGACTGTATCAGTATTTGTTAAGTAACTTATTAGGGAGAAATGCATACAGTTCTCATGAATCCATTCCTAGTGCTATTGTTTTTGAATCTTCAGTAAGGAGGATGGGCAGAAATGACTTTATCTTTACATGAGTATTTATTAAGAAATTCTTACATACCATCATGATTTTATTCTTCCTTTTTGTTAAACATTTTAGATGTCCAGCAAGTTGATGGTTTCATTGAAATGTGCCAGGAATGTCCAGACACACATCTGTTGCAAATTGTAATCACCAATAATAACACAGTGGAGGAAAGAGTTAGGGTTTTAGGTATAAAAAATGTATCAAATCTTGCTACAAACCAGACCTCACTGTGTAACAGGAAACTCACACAGGAGAGATACCCTATGAATATAATGAATGTAATTCCCAGAAGTCAAAACTCATCAAAACTCAGAGAACTCACACAGGAGACAAATGACATGACTGTGGAAAGTCTTTCAAGCAAAACTCATACCTCAGTATGTCTCAGAGAAGACACACAGAAGAGAAATCTTATGAATATGACATATGTGGAAAGTCTTGTAAGTGAAAATCACAGCCAAGTGTGCATCAAAGAACACACAAGGGAGAAACCATATGAATGTAACACGTGTGGAAAGTCTTTCATACTGAATGCAAACCTCAAGGCACATCAAAGAACACACACAGGAGAGAAACAATTTGAATGTAACATATGTGGAAAGTCTTTCAGACAGATGTCACGTCTCCACATGCATCAGAGCACACACACAGGAGTGAAATCTTATGAATGCAACAAATGTGGAAAGTCTTTCTACTATAAGTCCCACCTCAGTGTGCATCAGAGAACACACACAGGAGAGAAACCATATGAATGTAACACATGTGGAAAGTCTTTTGTCATCAAGTCATTCCTCAATGATCATCAGAGAATTCACACAAAAGAGAGGCCTTACGAATGTAACAAATGTAGAAAGTCTTTCAGCAGGAAATCAAGTCTTCTCAGGCATCAGAGAATTCACACAGGAGAAAAACCTTATGAATGTCACAAATGTGGAAAGTCTTTTGTTTTCAAATCAAACCTCAATGAGCATCAGACAACACACACAGGAGAGAAACCATATGAATGTAACACATGTGGAAAGTCTTTTGGCCAGAAATCAAGTCTTAGCAAGCATAAGAGAATTCACACAGGAGAGAAACCTTATGAATGTAACAAATGTGGAAAGTCTTTCCACTACAAGTCATACCTCAATGTTCATCAGAGAACACACACAGGAGAGAAACCATATGAATGTAACACATGTGGAAAGTCTTTTGTCACCAAGTCATTCCTCAATGATCATCAGAGAATTCACACAGGAGAGAAACCTTATGAATGTAACAAATGTGGAAAGTCTTTTGTTTTCAAGTCAAGCCTCAATGAGCATCGGACAATACACACAGGGGAGAAACCATATCAATGTAACACATGTGGAAAGTCTTTCAGCTATATGGCAAGTCTCTGTAGGCATCAGAGAATTCACACAGGAGAAAAACCTTATGAATGTAACAAATGTGGAAAGTCTTTTACCAACAAGTCATACCTCAATGCTCATCAGAAGACACACACAGGAGAGAAACCACATGAATGTAACACCTGTGGAAAGACTTTTGTCACCAAGTCATCCCTCAATGATCATCAGAGAATTCACACAGGAGAGAAACCTTATGAATGTAACAAATGTGGAAAGTCTTTTCACTACAAGTCAAGCCTCAATATTCATCAAAGAACACACAAGAGAGAAACCATATGAATGCAACACAAGTGGAAAGTCTTTCAGCAATATTTCAAGTCTCCACAGGCATCTGAGAATTCACACAGGAGACAAACGTGAATATAACATGTGGAAAGTTTTTCACCAGCAAGTCAGATCTTAGACATCAGAGTTTACACTGGAGAGAAATCAGTACCATCAGAAAAATGGAAATGAAAATTCTAAGAGCTTTGAACTTTGGTCTGGGTCAGCCTCTACCTCTCTACCTCCTTCATAGAGCATTGAAAATTACAGAGGTTGACAAGCATACTTTGAAGCAGCATACTTTGGCCAGATACCTAAGGAACTGACTATGATAGATTATGGAATGGTGCACATTCCTCCTCAAATTGCAGCAGGAGCTCTTTGATTTGCACTGGGAATTCTTGATGGTGAATGGACATGACTTCTCTAGCATTACCTGTCTTACATTGGGAATCTCTTCCTCTTATGCAGCACCTGGCTAACAACATAGTCATGGACAGTTGTGGCTTCCAAAGCACATGACTTTTGAGAAGAGTATGCTACACATAGACATGCCAACATCAGCATCTACCACAGCTGGATTCTATAGTAGTGACAAAGGTCTCAAACTTGTCAACTTGTTTTGATGTACTATGATAATAATTGCAAATAAAATTGGCACCATGTGCCGCTTGTATATACTATACTACATTGACTGGGATTTTAATGGAGGTTGTGGCCATTTTTACTTTTAATAGCTTAACTTGTCTAAATGTGGTTATTTCTACTCTAACTTGTAAGTCATAAGTGCATTCTAAATCCAGTTTTCATTTTATATATTTTTGTTTACTGGTTAGGGAAATAAAACAGGATGTTCAGAACAAATAAGCTAATTTATCCTACCTTTCTGAATCTTACCCTCCTGAAGGATATTGACAGATTAAGAAACATCTAGTTCCCATGCCCTCTATAAACATCCATATATATGAGTTGTTGTGGAGCATTTATTCCATCCAGCATGTGTAGCCCTTTTTATATTTAGTACTTCACATACTATGCATGTACTAAATGTAATATAGACATATATTGCCCTGTTGACATTCAGACCACATTTGCTCATTGCCTGTACAGTGTTGGTTAAAAATTATTTTATACCATTTTTTTCTTGATGTGATACATTTCCCAAAGTATATGTGTTCAGGCAGAGCCAAATGAATTTGTCAAATGTCATCAGCAGTGTACACCAGTGTTTTCTCTGCATCTTTGTTAAATCTAAATGTAATCTGTCTTAAATCTTTGTGAATGCATCACCCCCTGGTGATACCTACTTCCTTCCAAAGATGGGGTATTTCTTGGGCTCATTTTTTTTTTTTTTTGGAGGGGGGGTCCGGCCGTGGGGCCTGAACTCTGGGTCTGGGTGCTGTCCCTCAGCTCTTCAGCTCAAGGCTAGTGCTCTACCACTTGAGCCACAGCGCCACTTCCGGCTTTTTTCTTTTTTCTTATGTGGTGCTGAGGAATCGAACCCAGGGACTCAAGCATGCAAGGCAAGCGCTCTACCACTGAGCCACCTTCCCAGCCCCACTGGGCTCATTTCTTACCTAAGGTTTTGTGGTTGATGTGTTTGTAGAGTTTATCTTTTGCTTTTTGTTTTTTGTTTGTAGGTCATGGGCCTGGATGCTGTCTCTGAGCTTTCTTGCTCTAGGCTAGTGCTCTACCACATTGAGCTGCAGTTCCACTTCCAGTTTTCAGATAGTTAATTGTAGATAACAGTCTCGCAGCCTTTTCTGCCCAGGCTGGTTTCAAACCATGATCCTCAGATCTCAGCCTTCTTAATAGCTAGGATTACAGACATATAAGTTACTAGTGCCTAATTTTTCCCTGGCCTTTTCATTTTTTCTTGTTTTCTTTTTTTCATTAACCATGATTACTTATACATGGAAAACTAAGTGAAGAGAAAAATAAAACCCATGAATCATGTAAAGAAAAAGATTTAGATAATACAGGGAAATACATACACACACAAACACATTCTACCAAGTAACTGAAGAGATGAGGTTCAATTTCCCTGTCAATTAAATTGAAATTAGACCTTATTTGCCACAAAAATATCTGATTCCCAATAATCCTGGAGAGGAACATGAGCCAAAGGAGCACTTATTTTATTTAAAGACACATCAAGGCACTCACTGGTCGCTTGATATAATCCTAGCTATTCAAAAGGCCAAGATGTGAAATTGTGATTCATAGCCAGCCTGGTCAGACACGTTTACAAACAGATCTACAAAGCCCTTATTTCTAATTAAAATGATGATGTCAAAAGTAGAAAATTGGCTCAAATCGTGTTGTGCCAACTTGAAGGGACAAAGTGAAGTGAGAACATGAAGCTCTACATTCAAGCCCCAGTACTAGCAAATGAAGTCACATAAAAAGCTAACTTGTGGAAAGTCTCTCCTCCATACACTCACACTCAGAAATTAAACTCTTAGGAAGCTTATCTGAATGTATGTAAATCACTACTTCCTTTTACCTGTTTTCCTGCAAGAAAATGCAAATAATTATGCATTTTTACTGGACTATGGATTCATAGTAATTATAAAAACCCTAAATAAAAGAACAGGAGGAAAAAGCACTAGTCATTTCAAAACCTTAATGAGGCAAATTAATGATTGGCAATGTCAGTCCAGAGAAAATGCTGCATTGGATGGTTCAGAACACATGGACAGGTAGAGCTCTTTCATAGGAGGGCAGAAAAAAAGACCTTCCTTTAGAAGGCCAGCAGGTGGCCACCTAGGCATGTCCACTAGGCATTGTCACAGGGGTTACATAAACAAGCTGTTCTGAGTGGGGTCACAGAAGGTGACTTTGGTTAGTACCTTTCATTCTGATTTCTTATGAGGGCTGGCAGAAAGACTCATTCATAGCAAGGTGTACTTCAGATACCAGCAAGGGAATGGTCCTTTTAAGTCTAAATCTAGAGAGCATGGCAGGGGCACCAAATTCATGAGAGGTCCTATAGCTCCCAGAGCCATGTGTATGCCTGTGTATGAGCCATACTTTCCTCTCTGGGCTTTATAGTTTTTTGAGAGGTGAACATTGAATATTACAATGTGGTCACTCTGGGAAAGAGATTGTCCCACCTCATGAGTTTGGTTTAGTGCCTTGCTGAAGGTTCCAAGCTTCTATTCCAGCACCCAGAATGTGCCCTCCTCTGGATGAATGGGAGAAGACAAACATGACCTGCTACCCATCAGGCCAAGGAGGGGCTGAGGTCCCCTTGCAGTTGGAACTCAGAAGCTGACACAGATGTTGCCTTCAGGGCAGAGACAAATCACTGGATGAGGCCACAAAGCCACAGTCACACCAAGACAGTTGTAAGATCACTTATGTCCTCGGAGAAGTCCGGTCTCAAAGGTTATATACACAGGGAAGCAGCAAGTCTGCTTAGAGTTCTTTGGGACTGGATTAGGCAGCACTCATTCTCAGCCTCTGTAATATTTATTTTAATGATGCTGCTGGATGTCCCTAGTGAAATTTTCATTTCATATCTTACCTCGCATCTAGAATGTGTGGTTTCTGTTCATCACTTGAGTCTCCACGTTGAAATCCTAAGTAGCTGAAATGTCTTCTCGGTCCCTGGAATGGCAGGGCCCCTGGTTTCCTTCAAGTCACTGAGTATTACTAAACATGAATGTTTTTCTTTGAGTACTAGTCCCAATGTCTGTGATTCCTCCTGGATAGCTTTTGTCAAAACCATGATCCCTGTGCATGAGCCATGCTTTCCTCTCTAGGCTTTATAGTTTTTTTGAGAAGTGAATGTTGAATATTGCAACCTGGTCACCCTGAGAAAGAGATTTCCCCCCTCATGAGTTTGGTTTAGTGCCTTGCTGAAGGTTCCAGGCTTCTATCCCTGATTACCAAGCCTGATCTCTTCACAGAGGTCACAATGTACGGATTCTCACCACCACCTCTGGCCCTCAGTGCAATAGATATTTACCTGGAAAGACACTGGGGCTTCCACTCTGCCAATTTGGCTGTATTAGTTACTTTTTCAAAGACACCCAAAGCTGGGACACCAGTGGCTCATGCTTGTAACCTAGCTACTGAGGAAGCTGAGATCTGAAGTTCATGGTTCAAAACCAGTCTGGGCCGAAAAGTCCCCGTGAGACTCTTCTCCAGTTAACCACTCAAAAACCAGAAGTGGAGCTGTGGCTCCAAGTGGTAGAGTGCTAGCCTTGAACAAAAGAGCTCAGGGACAGCACCCAGGCCTTGGTTCAAGCCCCAAGAACAACAAAAGCAAAAGCACCCAAACATCAGACATTGCATGCCACATGTCACATACACAGAGGTCTTTTGTGTGTGTGTGGGGGGTCCGGTCATGGGGCCTGAACTCTGGGCCTGGGCGCTGTCCCTCAGCTCTTCAGCTCAAGGCTA